GTTGGCAACCACTGTTCTAGGAGACACAGATGAAAAAAAAAAAAATGTATAGCCGAAACCGGTTTGGCTCAGTGGATAGAGCGTTGGCCTGCGGACTGAAGGGTCCTGGGTTCGATTCCGGTCAAGGACATGTACCTTGGTTGCGGGCACATCCCCTGTGGGGGGGTGTGCAAGAGGCAGCTGATTGATGCTTCTCTCTCATCAATGTTTCCGGCTCTCTGTCCCTCTCTCTTCCTCTCTGTGAAAAATCAATAAAATATATTTTTTTTAAAAAAGAAAAAAAGAAAAAAAAATGTATAAAATGGCCTTGGCTTGTGCTCAGTGGTTAGAGGACCGGCCCAGGAACCAAAGGGTCAAAGGGCACATACCTTAGATACAGATTCCCCAGCCCCTGTATGGACATGTACAGGAGGCACCAATTGATTTGTCACTCTCACTTTGATGTTTCTCTCTCTTTCTCTCCCCACCCTTCCCTTCTACTCTAGAAATCGATGGAAAAAAAAATCTTCAGGTGAGGATTTAAAAAAACAAAAAAACAAAACAAAAAACAACAACAACCCAGACCCAGTTGTTGAGTATCAACCTATAAACCAGGAGATCACGGTTCAATTCCGATCATTGGGGACACATGGCTGGGTTGCAGGCTCGATTCCCAGTAGAGGACATACAGGAGGCAGCTGAGCAATGATTCTCTCTCATCATTGATGTTTCTCTCTCTCTCCTTTCCCTTCCTCTCTGAAATAAATAAAAACATATTTTTAAAAACCAGAAACGGAGCACACAGCGCAGTCAGCGCCATGAAGGGGGAGCAGGAGGTAGGGGGGACACTGTAGGAGCAAAAGGAGGCCCCTAATCCAGCCTAAACCCCAATCCAAAGGGATTGTGGGAGGTGGGGGTGGGGAGGGAGCAGGGCTCGGAAAGCCAGAGGATTCCCTCCCTCCTGGAGCAGTGGGGATCCTTCCCCATCTCCACAGGCGGGGCCACCAGCTTCTGGCTTAGCCCCGGAGACTGGGCTGAAATCGGCCATTCTGCTAGTGCCCGGGACTCATTCTGCCCCCAGCCTACGCCACTCCATGCCCACATTGCACCTGTCAGGTGTTTTACATGAATTACCAGGTTGCTTCCTCACAGGGACTATGAGTCTTATTTTTGAAAAAAAAATTTTTTTATTGAGTTTAGAAAGAGGCAGGAGGAAACCAACATGGATTTGTTGTCCCACTAACTCATGCGTTCTTTCGTTGATTCCTGCATGTGCCTTGATGGGAGATCAAACCCAAAACCTAGGCGCATAGAGACAGAGGTGCTCTAGCTGAGCTCTCTGGCCAGGTCAATCCCCATTTTTCAAATGAGAAAAGCTGAGGCTCAGGACCCCTGGAGCCCCTAAATGTCTGGCCTCCTCCCAGCGGCTGTGCTTCAAGATTCCTGCCCTCCTCCCTGGACCTCTCTCTGGCAGGGCAGCTCCCCCAGGGGCCTCCCCCCGGGACCCTGCATTGGAAAGCTTCCACCGGCCCCAGCTCCCCCTGGCCCCGTCCCCAGTCCGCTGCGGGCAGCCGGCCCGCCGGGCGCCGGCCTCCGTCCCTCCAGAAGCTGCGGCGGAGACAAAGGCGGGGTCCGCGGGGGCGGCGAGGGCGCGGGTGCCCCCTGCCCGCTGCCCTTTGTCTCCCCGCCGGCTCCCCTCGTGCGCCCGGGGAGGCTGGGAGGCGCCTCTCGCAGGCTTCCTCCTCCCATTCTTGTGCTAATTGGGTGTCAAGCTGAGATCAGTGAGAAAGAAATCCGCCCGGGCTCGGGTTAAACTGCCGCCGAAGGCCGGGCTGAGCCGGAATACCATTAGGCGGAGGAAGCGGGCCTCCTCGGGGGAGGGGCCCGCCGCGCATTCAGCTCCTTTGAAAGTCGCTCGCTCGCCCCCTCCTCGGCCGCCGCTTCAGTGGGCCCCTCGGAGGTATTTAACCTTCTTCCCAGGAGCTGAAAGCGATAGGCCACGCACTGGCTCGGGCGGCCACTTGCCTGTCCCGAGGGCGGCAGGACCTCCGGGGTCGCTGGAGGCGGGCCTCCGGGGCGCCGGCTGCGGATGGGAACACGGAGACTCCGGAGCGGGGCCCGGCCTCCCAGCGCCACCCTTCACAGGCTCTGACTCCCTGAGCAGCAGAATAGCAGCTGCTTTGTTACGGATTTAATGGAGTAATGCACAGGAAGTGCTTTGCACAATTCCGGGCACCCAGGCAGAGTTCCCCACGCGGTGGCTATTAGCGAGTCTGAGGAGCCTTCCCCTGCACACTGGGACCTCCTAGCGGGCTCTGGAGGTGGGCCATTACACGTGCCCACGAGCACTCATTTTCACATCTAGCCTCGCCTCTGCCCCTTCACTCCCTGGCAGCCAAACTGCACTTCTTTCATCTGCTCTGCCCTCCAGGCCTCTTATGTTTTGCTGCTCCTTCTGTTCAGAACACTCTTCCCCCCAGATTCTTGCGCTCTTTGAAAAGTCTCTCTGACCTGGAAACACGACCCCCCCCCCCCCCCTTCTTGTGGTGTCAGGAAGCCAGATTAGGTCAGCTAAGCTAAGCACATACCCTTTGCTGCTTTACTGCCAGCCTCCTCTGCCTTCCCCAGGTAAATCTAGGGTCTGGGTCTTTGTCTTGCTCACCCTCACCCACTCTACCTCTTGCACAAACTCCTTTAGAATCTGCTCCACAGATGAAATTACTTGGTGCCTTGTAATAGACACTACCATTAACGTCACAAGCACCTACTGTGTGCATGGAGACACCTCACACAGGCAGATATGCATGCTGCTGCAAGGCCGAGACCCACCAGTCCCACCCATTCATGGAGGGGCTGATATGGAAATGGGGAACTTAGGCCTAGTCTGGGGTCTTAACACCTGAACATACGTTCCTTTTTAACTACCATGTACTGAGCAGTATTAGCACCAGACCCCGTGCTGAGATTTCCATGCATGATCTTATTGCATGTTCACAAAGAAAGTGATGTAGGTTCCTTCTGGAGAGAAAACAGGCTGAAGCTGGACTTGAACACAGGCCTGTCTGCCTCCCGAGCTGGAGCTGCCACCACTCCATACTGCCTTTGGGGGCTGTTCAATCTGGAGAAAGGCTTAAGCTCCTTCCCATTGGAGAGCACGCACTGCTGAGGGTTAAAGATACGAGGCCACGTAGCCTGTACACTGAAAGGGTAGGGTTTGATTTCCTGTCAGGGCATATACCAGGTTGTGGGTTTGATCCCTGATTAGGTGCGAATGAGAGGCAATCAATAGATGTTCCTCACATGGATGTTTCTCTCAAATCAATAAAAAATAAATACACACATATATATGAAAAGAAAAAAAAGATACACAGCCGTGCTCTCAGGCCAGCCCAGCCCCTTGGAAGCCTCGAAAGCCCACCGCAGGGGCTTCTGGGATGGGTGCCTGCTGGGGCATGAGAGGACCCAATCCCTGCTTCCCACTTGCCGGGGTGAAGGCCCGGAGGGATTCTGCAGTCTCTGCACGCCCTCTGCCGGTCACATCGGAGCACTGCAGCCATGCCTGGCAACAGCCCACAAGCCCCCTCCCGCCACCCAACCACACTTAGCATCACTTCCCACTGGGCCAACTGCCACCCAACCCCCACCCCATCTGCCCCCAAGAGAAGCACTAGACTCCTCTTCAAGTCACTTCCCCAGAAGGCAACCCTCCCCCTGAACGGCCAGCCGCTGGCCTGGGGCGTGGCCCACAGATGCTCTGCAGGCATGTGTGGAATGGGAGTGCTTCTGGCTTCCCTGTTGTCTTCCGCACCGGAGGTGGGTGGAGCAGTGGGAAGGGCCCCCTGGCCTGGGGTTTACATTCCAGCCCCCGCTACTTGCTATGTGACCTCAGCCAAGTGACACAGTGAAGACAAAAATCAGGGATGCAGTGCCTAATGCCCTGGGCTGGGTCGGACTCCTTTCCCATCAGGCCTTGCGTTCCCAGCCTGGGTGTAACTCCAGTGATGGGGCCAAGGGCACTGCTGACTCTGGAGCCCCGGTAAGCCTGCTCCAGAGAGCTTTCCTGAACTCTGCCCTAGCTCGTTAGGCAGCCCTGCTCTGCCTCGGCAGGGCCTGCAACCCCCTAGGGGAGCGCATCCAGGAAAAGGGGACAGCATGAGCAAAGGTCTGCTGCTCTGGACTAGGTTTTCTCTTCCCAAGGCTCTGAGCAGCCCTCTCCTCATAATGGCTACCTTCAGTTCTCTGAACCCTCCTTAATCCCGTTTCCCTGGTGGTAAGACCGAGTCACTTGCCCAAGACCCAGGCGGGAGCTGTAGCATCTCACCTGCCCTAAGCCCAAAAGAGGGAACAGATGGGTGCGTGAGTGAAGGGGCCAGAGGGGCAGCAGGTGGGGCCTGCGTGGGCTGTGAGAGCTCAGGTGGCATGCACACAGGCTGGGGGGGGAGTCAAGGCAGAGTTTATTGGCCCTTGAGTGCCCCCACCCCTCCTCCCAAAGCCAGGTCAAGACTGAGATGGAGGTGACATGGACAGACCCAGGCAGAAAGGCCCTGCCCGAGGACTGCCACCAGGGAGAGGGGAGGAGGGAGGAGACAGTCAGGCAGCCTGCTGCAGGTCGGGGTCCTCTCCCATCTTCCTTCTGTCTCTGCCCGCTCTACTGGCTTCCTGAGTCTGGGGGCTAATGCCCTGGTCCCATTTACAACCTCCCTGGCTCTCGGAGGAGCGCTTGGCGACCCTCCCCTCCCCCTGACCTGACCCAAGACATCATCCTGAGGGGCCCAGTCAGTCTCAGCCCAGAGCCCCGCCTGGCCTCGAAGACATGGGACATGAGGCTTTCACAGAAAGCCGCTGGGGGAGGGGGAGGCGGCAGTGAGTCACTTGGCAGTTTGAAGGGGGAGGGGGCCGGCACCTCACAGTTGAGGTGCTGGGCCCTGCTCGCTTTGGTCTGGCATTACCCAGGACCCCTTTGGGGTGTGAGCTGGGGCTCTGGACCCAGTATCTGCTGGCCCTGAGGGTCTCAGGGCAAATCACAGCTTCTCCTCGCCAGCCTGGATGCGGGTGTAGGCCTCTCGGTCCAGCGGTAGGTAGCGGCCCTTCCGGGCATCCAGGTAGAACAGTGGGTCTTTCACAGCGGCAGGGTCAAAGCCTTCCTTCCGCAGCTCTGTCTTCTGTAACTTAAACGTCCCTGAGGGAGCAGATGCCGGGGAGGGAGAATCAGAGGATGCAGGCAGGGGCTGAGTTCCCGGGAACCCACCCACTGACAGAGGAAGACCAGAGAGGCATAGGAAAGGGCACATGTGGGGCGGCAGATCCCTTTGTAGTTTGCAAAGAAGGCTCCATCCACTTCATTATGTACTGATTCTCAGAGCAGCCCTGCATTACCCACCTCCTTTTTACAAAAGGGGAAACTGAGACCCAAAATATGGGAGCTATTTGTCCACAGCCACATACTGAGTGACGGCAGAGGGAGCAGAACTTGGGTCTCTGTGATGGCTCCTTTGATCTGAGCACCTCCCTGGCATTTAATCTGCTCATCAAACCGTGTCCATCCATATGCTATGGATTCTAAAATGTACATGCTTTCAGATCTTAACATCTCTGAAATAGTGGCAGTGGCTTTTTTTAATACCATGTTTCCCCGAAAATAAGACATCCTCCTAGCACATGGAAAGATAAGACATCCCCTGAAAATAAGACCTAGCGCAACTTTGGGAGAAAAAATTAATATAAGATACTGTCTTATTTTCGGGGAAACAGGGTAGTATCAGGTAAGGCTGACATGATAACCATGTGGGAGGTGACCAGGCAAGTGAAACCTGAGGCTGAGCAGCCAGGAAAGGGCCGGGAAGTGGGGAGAGTCGGGGCAGGGCAATAGGGACTGAGCAGAGCAGGACGGGGGTCAGGCCGTGGACTTCCTGCCCACCAGATCACTCCTGAGTCGTCAGTGCGCCAACGACAGAAGAATGGCACCGTCTGTTACGCCACTGTAGACCCACAACTCATCTCTTCCCGGGATGACGACCACGCACTCTCCCCCACGCCCCGCCCTGGCTGCCTGCGACCCCCGCCCTCCACTCCATGCAGCAGCAAGAGGGCTTTGCAGAACCTGAATCTGGTCAGCTACTACCTTGCTCAACCAATCCTGTAGCTCCCTACTGCCCCCACCCCAGCCCCCAAGGCTCTGGGCTTCCAGCCCTGTTAGCCTCTCTTCCCCCCTCATGCCACTGCCCACCCCTCACTGACTCCCACTTTGGGGGCCTCCTTTGACGCCTCTAGTATCCAAGGTCCTCCTGCCTCAGGCTTCACTCTGCTGTTCCCGGAGCCCAGATTGCCCCCACTGATAGAGGCCTCCTTCTCACTCAGGTCTCAGCCTAAACGTCACCTCCTCGGGGAGCCTGCCAGTCCTCCGAAACCCCTTCATTCACTTTTCTGCCAGTTTGATCAGAATTCCCTTCTTAAATCTTGGAATTCCTTTCCTAAGGGCTGTCTCCGCTATTGTGCCAGAAGCTCCCAGAAAGCACAGGTCCCGTCAGAAACCGTTACCTAGGCCCCCAGGGCCTAGCACAGTGCCTGGCACATAGCTGGGACTCAACATTTCTTCCATTAATGAATGGATGAACTTCTCTCTCTGAAGACTCCATCTGCTCACTTGCACACAGGGAGGTCAGTTTATCAACTACCTGGCTAAGCTATGGGTGAAGTTCAAGTGACAGCACCCAGGTCTCTCAAGAAGGAACTGGGAAGGAGCCCGGAAGGAGCCGAGGCCTGCACTGCAGGTTGGAGCAGGGGAGACAGACCTGTTTTGTGGAGCTCAGGCATGAGGCGCAGGAAGATGGGACGGGCGTAGAGGGGCAGCTCTTTCTCCAGCAGCTGTGCAAAGCGCTCCAGGTCGCAACTGCCCGAGGGGTTGGCCACAGCAGCCATCCCGGCGCGGCCCTCGGTTCCTGAGGGTAGTGGAGTGAACAGTGAGCGGCTGGCAGTGACTCCTCGTGGCACCTCCCCGCACATACCGGGTACCTCCCACCCGCCCACACAAAGATACCTGGCACCTCGACACCGTATACTGCCACATCGGCCATGTCTAGCAGGCGGCTGAGTGTGCCCTCCACCTCCGTGGTGGACACATTCTCGCCTTTCCAGCGGAACGTGTCGCCTGTGCGGTCTCGGAAATACAGGTAGCCCAGCTCATCCATCACCAGCACGTCACCTAGGAGAGGGTGTGAGGCAGGGCTTAGGCCAGTAGTCCTGGCTGGATCCCAAGAATTTGCTTGGCTGAAGGGGATGGGATTGGGCGGGTCCTGGGGAGGTGTCCTCTGAAGGTGGCCAAGACCCCTTCCTCGCTCCCCATCCCTACCCTCCGCTGGGGCTGTGAAGGGCTAGGGAGAGGCGCCCACTCACCGGTGAGGTAAGCCTGGTCCCCCTTTTTGAAGACATCCTTGGCGATCTTCTTGTTGTTGGCACCCTGGTTGAGGTAGCCGTCGAAGCGCCGCAGGGGGTCCTGCTGGATGATGCGGCCCACCAACTGGCCCGGCTCACCTGGGGGCGGGAGGCGGGGCCAGACTTGCCATGGTGGCCTCTTCTCCGGTCCCCCCGCCCCCAAATGCACCCTACGTGCTGATCTGCCCTCTGGTCACACTATTTCCCAGTGCAGCCCCCCAAGGCAGGGCGCTTCTCTTGGCAGGTCTGACACATGTGGGCACTCAGTGGTATCTGGTCACTGAGCCGAAGGAAGGATGGACAAATAGCTGACAGGGTGGCTGAACCCTACACGGACAGTCTGGCCACAGCAGCATTCCCTGGGCTCCTGGCTCAGCTCAAAGAGCTTCATGCTCTGCAGCACATGATCCTCCTGGCTACCCCGTGAGGCAGTGCTGCCATCAGCCCCGATGCTAGGTGGGGGTCTCGGGCCCAGAGCTAAAGGGCTGAGCGAGGATCGTCCCAGGCGGCCTGGACCCAGGTCCTCAACACAACAGAGAAGAGATGAACAGAGGGAATAAACGACTAAGAAATGACTGACAGCCACTGGTCAGACAGGGTTACCTCCAGCCTACCCCCTCCCCGCTGACCCCCAATCCCGACCCCCAACCCCAGCACAGACCTGGCTGGCAGGGAAGGCAGACACCATCGGGCCCCCGGATCAGCTCCATGGTGTCCTCGTTGACACGCACTAGCCGGATTGGGTACACGAAGGACAGGATGCGGCTGTTGAAGCCACAGGCTCCCACCTGCAAAGGCCAAGACTTGGGCCTGGGCTCTCCCCGTGCGCTCAAAACTGGGCAAGGTGTGAGAGGAAACTCCAGCACCCACTCTCCCCTGCTGGAACCCTGCCCTCCCTCCTGCTGCCCGTGCCTTCCGCGATCCATCCATGTCCCCAACCGGAGTATACCTGGCTGTCAAAGTTGCCCAGGCTGCAGTTGCACTCGGTGGCCCCGTAGAACTCGGCCACCTGGGGGATGTTGAAGCGACCGGAAAATTCCGTCCATATGGACTGTCGGAGGCCGTTGCCCAGCGCCATGCGCACCCGGTGCCTGTTTTCCACCTCCCGGGGCGGCTGGTTCAGGAGGTAGCGGCACAGCTCACCGATGTACTGCACGATCTGGAGGTGGACTTGGGGTGAGTTTGGGTCCCTGAGGTTGCTCTCACTTCCCACCTCCCAGTCTCTCGGGCCCCTTCCCCTACTAGCTCTGGCCCTCCCCACCGGGCCTCAACCTCTCCATCTGAACAATGAACAACTGGCTGCCTCAGCCGTAAGTCAGAAGTGGCTCATCTCCTTCCCTCTCACTCACTGTGCAGTTATACTTGATACAATCATCCCAGAACCGAGAGGCGGAGAATTTCTTCCGGATAACCACTGTCATGCCATGGAGCAGGCACTGCCCGATTCCCACGATGTTTCCTGAAGGGACAGGAAGACCTGGAGGTCAGCGAGATGGGACACCCTTCCCTCCAGAGCCTCGTCTTACCCAGCCCAAAGGTCCTTTCCCTTGGTCTCTCTTTCCTGTCCTCTCCCTCCAACACCAATGATAATCACTCCCCTAGTCAGACATCTTCCATGGCTTCCCTGTGCCTACTGGATCGATCACACACTCCCCCAGAGTCTGCAGACCTGACCCCAAGTTCCTGTTCTGATAACCATAATGATGCCTTCAACTGGGGGACCAAGTTAGCCGCCTGGCTTCTGCACCTCACATCTGCCTGCACTGAATACACCTCTTCCAGGAAGCCTTCCAGGCCAGACCGAGCTCTTCCCTGGAGCTGAGCTCCTGTTCCCTGACCCTCCCACACTCACCATGCCATTTCCTGTATCATGTAAGGTGGGCCTCCATCATTCATCCTGCCCCAACACACACCCAACTCTAAGCACCTTGAGGACAGGAACTATATTTATTCCATCTCTGTCTTTCCTTAAGACCAAGCAGCAAGGCCATGTATGTCCACGGGAACAAACTGAACAGTCAGACCAGCCCCGGTGCCCTGCGGGACATGGCCATACACGCGATCAGACTGGAGTGGCCATCTCGTTTTTGTTGTTGTTTATTTTTTGGCCATCCTTGTTCAGAGCTCCAGTCAATGGCCACATCTGGATCCGAACCCTGACTACCCTTGAAAGCTCATGTGTTTCTACCGCAACCTGCTGCCTGCCCAGAGGGCCAGGGTTCCTGAGGCCCTGGGGGCTCTGGGGACGGAGGAGCCCACGTTACCGGCGGAGTGATAGAGCGGGAGGCAGTCGTAGACGATGTCATCGGGACGCATGCGAAAGCCGTAGTACACCAGGGAAGCCATGCGGTAATACCTGGGAAGGCAGAGGGCGGAGAGCTCAGCGGGCCCCTGAGAAGGCAGAAGGGGGGGTTCCTGAGCCCTGTCACCCCGGCTCTCCCTCCAGCACCGGTCCCTTACCTGCTGTGCACCACGATGGCAGCTTTGGGCAGCCCCGTGGTGCCCGATGTGTAGATGTAGAAGAGCTTATCTGAAGAAAACAGACACATAAGCATCTGTGAGAGGGGGCAGCAGAAGGCTGAGATGGAGTCAGATGGACACGTGTGTATGTGTGCCATTCAGGGCCCATTCCCATCACACCTCCTCCAGAAGGCCTGCTCTGCTGAGCCCAGACACCACTCTCTGCTCTAATGCCTGTGTCTGTTCCGTCAACAACCCTTTTCTGGCCCTCACTCTGTGCCGCCCCAGAGAGACATCGGTGACCGAGAGGAGCACAGGCTCTGCCCAGGCGGCAGGTGCAGACCGGCATCCCAACCTGAGGACAAAGGGAAGCGCAGGGCCTGTCCAAGATGAGGCTCAGCACCCCCAGGCTGGAGGCTCCAGGAGGTCCCAACACCATGGGGTGACTGCATGTTCCTTGTCGACCATCTCCTGCATTTGTGTGCCTGCCCTATGCCAGCCTAGGCTGCACACCATGAGGGCAACAGGCTGAACCAGCCCGAGTCCCCGCACCAGGAGATAAGATCTGTATATGACAGAGTAAATGACTAGAATGAGGACAATGACCTGTTACTGAGCCCTTCCTGCCACACCCTAGTTCCCAGTGCGTCTATTTCAATCCTTAGTCACTACACAAAATAGGCTGCTACCACCCCCCTCATGGCTGTAGGAACCCAGGGCACAGAGGGGCAGCTCAGGTGTTCAGGGTCACATAAGGGAAGAAGCGACAGAGCCAGAATATGAACTAGTCCAAGCTCTGAGCCACCGGGAGATACAGCAGGCTGCGGGCTCCACAAGGCAGTATGGAAGAAGAGAGGCGAAAGGGTCTGGGGGCTGCCTGGAGGAGGGGAGGTGGAGACAGGCAGCCCAGTACGGGGAGGATCACAGCCCAACAAGGGCCTGCACCGAACAGGTGCTGGATGAATATTTAAAGGGCCCCTGGCCCAATTCCAAACAAAACTTAGAAACAGCAGGTTCCTGGGCTCCGCATGACCCTGAGCATGTTAGGCATCCATGAAGGCTTGTTCAACAAATCAGATTGAGTGAGCTCCTGTGTACTCGACACCATGCCCAGCACTTCCCTACATACCAGCTCATTTAACCTGCAGTAACCCCAGTTACTGTACCCATTTTCCCAGATGGAAAAGGGAGGTGACAGGACTCCCTCCAGGTCACTCAGCAAGTATGCAGAACACAGGCCTCTGGCCATAAGGCCAGTGATCTGTCCTTGGCACCTTAGGGTTCCTCTGTGGGGGTGGGAGACTCACCTGTGAAGCCCTTGTCAGGGCAACTGGGCAGGTGCTTGGGGGCGTTTTCCAGCAAGGGGTCCAGGTGCTCTGTGCTGGCAGGCACTAGGCTGGGCTCCCACGGACCAGAGCAGAAGAGGCTGACTGAAGGATCCAAGCTGGCATGGATCTCAAAGACAGCTGCAGGGGAGACAGGGCAGATCAGCAGGCAGATCCCAGGAACGCTGCTCATGGGCATGCTGTCAGGGGAGGCTGGCTGGGGAGGCAGAGAGAGAAGCACCCAGGACCTCATAATAAGAAAGATGCTGATAGGAGCAACAGCTCCTATTAGCTTCTGGCTAACTGCACAGTGGGCTCTTTATCTGCATTCTCCTGCTCACACACCCTAGGAGGTAGGTACCAATATCAGCCCATTTTACAGATGAGGAAATTGAGGCTCTGAGAATGAGAGGGACTTGTTCACAGCCAGAACATGCTGAACCTGGGAATCGAAGCCAGCTCTATCTCACATGAAGGTTTACTCTCTTACCCACTGTACTAGGCTTGTCTGTGGGGGTCTGGGTAGAAGGGAGGAGTGGGACTCAGAGGTTAGCAGCCCTCCAGACTCTTCAGACGTGGGAACCTTCTCTCAGGCTCCCCCAAGCATTACAGATGTCCGCCCGCCCTAGGCATGGGCCAATCCTGGCCCACTTGGCCCCATTTCCTCTGGCTTCCTCTTTTTTATCCAAACACCTCCACTCTCCCTACTGAATCTGCCCTCTTCCCCTTTCAACTTCTCAATAACCTTCCCTGTCCATTACTCCACAAACCGCAGCGACGTGGGGAGAAGGAACAGGAACACTGTGGCCATGCCCAGATCAAATCTGGGTCCCACCACTTACCAGGTGCCTGAGTTCCTCACCACTATGAACCTCAGGCTCCTCATCTACAAAGCCGATGACAGGCCCGTCCTCAGCAGACTCTGTGAAGGTTAGAGCTGCGCTTATCAAGTACATGCTCAGCACCCAGTTAGTGCCCAGTGTGGTGGCCAAAACCATAAGCTCTGCAGGACAGCAGAGAACGGACTCTTGTGCCCATTTTATAGATGAAGAAATGAGGCCTAATTAGTCATAAGAATGGTTACCAATGAAATCTGAGAGCTGAAACCAGTTTGGCTCAGTGGATAGAGCATTGGCGTGCGGACTGAAGGGTCCCAGGTTCGATTCCGGTCAAGGGCATGTACCTTGGTTGTGGGCACATCCCCGGTGGGGGGTGTGCAAGAGGCGGCTGATCGATGATCTCTCTCATCAATGTTTCTAACTCTCTATCCCTCTCCCTTACTCTCTGTGAAAAATCAATAAAATGTATTTTAAAAAGAAAAAAAAAGAGAAGAAATCTGAGAGCTTACCTAGCACCACTTTGCTAGTGCTTCAGGTGAAGCATTACCTTGAAAACAGTATGAGTAGGTACTATAGTGAAGAAACTGAGGCACAGGGAATTCTGGTCTCTTACTCAGGATCACCAGCTTACTAGCGGCAGAGCCCAGGCCGTCTGACTCCAAGGCTCATGCTCTTAACCTCTGAGCTACACAGCTTTCCCGGGGCTGGAAGAGGTCTGTGCAAGGTTCCACGGGACTTCCTGCCTGTCCCTGCCTCTTTGGGGCTCACCTGGGGCCATCTCACTGCCGAAGATGAGTGCGCGGGCCCGGGAGGTGGTTAGGCAGTGGCGCAGGGCATCCCGCCGAAGGTTGGTGTTGATCAGGGCCGCCTCCACACCCAGCTTGGCCATGCCCAGCCACAGACCCACGAACTCATTGCGGTTCTCCATGAAGAGGGCAGCCACGTCGCCGGAGGCCAGGCCCCGGGCCTGCAGGAAGTTGGCCACGCTGCTTGAGTAGTCATCCAGCTGGCGGAAGGTCCAGTGTGTGTCGGTGCCCTCAAAGATCAGGGCGGTCTTGTTGGGGTGGCGCTGTACCGTGGAGGCGAACAAGATGGGCACCGTCCGCCGCTCCCGCAGGTACCGCCGGACCTTGGCCTTCACCTTCAGGAGCACCATGCCGCCGCTGTGCGGGAGCCAGCAAGGGAGCGGTGACTGCCGGGCTGGCAGTGGGGGTCCCTGCACCCTGGCTCAGGGTGCTTCCCCGTGGGCCTACGGCTCCTAAGCCCCATCACTTACAACACTCCCCTTGTCCAGCCCCTGTATGCTGGGCGCGTGACACACGCCAGCTTGCTAATGTCGTACAGGGACCAGGGCAATTACTCCCTCCCCTGCACAGACGCGGAAACTAAGGCTCTGCCAGCACATTTCTTGCCCTGGCTTCCCAGGTAGAGATCTGAAGCCCAGTCCTCTCTGGCTCCAGAGTGCAACCCCTACTACCCAGTCCTGTTTCCTCTGAGTCTTCTGCTCCGACAGAGCATTCTGGGACTCCAGGGCCCAAGTCAAGATCTCTGTCGGGGCCTCCCACAATGCCGTATCCACACCTCCCCCTCACCCCAATAAAGGATGAGTGTGCGATTTGTCCAGTCTTCCTCTCTGTGAGCCCAGCAAGGAGGGCTCCATCCTATTCAGCACCTCGTCCTCTGGGCCCTGCTCAGTGCCAGGCAGAGATGTTCAGCAGGTGTTTGTGGAATCGCTGGCCACTCCCCCCTCTCCTGCCCTGCCCCTGCCCCCCCTGACCCCTGAACTGTCTCAGGCTCTATGCGTTTGGTGATGCTGTACCCTCTGGCTGGAATCCCTTGATGCCACCAAAAACAACTACTTTGGCCCTAGCCTGTTTGGCTCAGTGGATAGAGCATTAGCCTGAGGATTGAAGGGTCCTGGGTTTGATTTCGGTCAAGGGTACATGACTGGATCCCCAGTGGGGGCACACTGGAAGCAGTCAATCAATGATTCTCTTTCATCATTGATGTTTCTATCTCTATCTCCCTCTCCCTTCCTCTCTGAAATCAATAAAAATGTTTGTTTGTTTGTTTTAAATAACTACTTTGCCCCCAGAAAGCCTTCTCCGATTCCCCGAGGCCCTGGCCTAAGCCACCTCCCCTGCCCGCTCCCACAGCCCTCTGCTGCTACCACCCTTTGTGCAGTGGCCACTCTCTACTTCCTTTTGAAATCAACTCAGACTGACAAACGCTGGGCTGCCTGTTCTGGGTGTGAGTCAGTGTGTTGGGCACTGGGACATTACTGTGAGTAAGACAGCCAGGGTCTCTGCCCACATGGCACTGCCAGCTTAGTGATTTACTGTATCCCCTAAGTATCTCCCAGACCAGTCCAAGCTTGGCCCGGGACTGGGTCTGCCTTGCTCTGAGAGCCTCGCACCTGGCACAGAGAAGGGAACAGCAGGTGATTCTGGTCCAGGACATCCCTGTGGAGCACACCTGGCATTCTCTGGGGAGGTTTTCCCACATATCCGACTCGGAGCCCTCTCAGACTCATGCCAATCCAGGGACAGGACTTCCCCACAGGGATGTAGTATTAGCCACTACAGACCCCTTTCAGATGTCTCAACACCTCTCCCTGAGTCTTCCACGCTATGTCCCAGGCCCCCAAGTTGGTCCCAGGCTAAGGACACCAAGTCAGGGAGATTCCCCAGGAGGAGACTGTGACCTTGGAGGTGGAGGTACCTGTGCCAGGGAAAGAGTGTGGAGAAGAGGCTGCTGCTCTGGGGCCCAGCTACCCTGTGCTGGCAGAGGCCCCGGTCTGTTCGGGAGAAACTGTGTGGACGAGGAGCCCACAGAGGTGTGAGAGAATCCAGGAAGGGCTAACCCAGGTACTCACAAAACATCGCGCCTGATGGTCTTGATGAAGATCCGGATGAAGCGCCAGCCGCCAGACCCCAGATAGAGGAACAGCAGGGAAAACACCACCTGAGTCCAGGGCAGTTTCAGCACCAGCTTGGAGAAGAGCAATGCTCCCACGAGAGACGCCCCGAGCAGCATCGTGGCCTGTGAGCACAGGGTCGTCAGTGGATTCAAATGGCCAAGTTCTCCACTCCCTGGCCCAGTCAGCCAGGCCACTATGACCCCATGGGGTCAACCTGTGGTGTGTCTTGGCCACTGACGGGCTCCCTTTCCAGGGCTGTCTGGAAGGGGCAGGTAGAGGCATTGGAGGAGAGGTGAGGAGTTCCAGAGGTGACAGGCAGGAGACTAGGGTCTAAGTGCCCTTGTCCCATCGCTGCCCATAATTCTCCGAGTGACCTTGGGCAAGTCCCTTTCCAGCTTTAGGACTTAGTTTCCTCCTCTGTGCAAGGGGTGTAGTGAGATTTGCTCTCAGAAACCTTTCCAGCCAAAATAGGACAGTCCACTCTCTTGACATCTAGGGTCCCTAACCAAATGGCCTGGGGAGGGGTACTAAGGTAAGTACCTCCATACCCAAAGACCTGGGCAGGTTGTGTGGAGGACCGGGCCAAGCCTCAACACCCCAAGGGGCAGCTTCCAGGGAAGGGGCCTTAGCCCCGTCCCTGCCCAGAGGCTCCGGCAGCGCCATGGCTCTGCTGGCCCATAGGGGGCGACAGAGCAAACGGGGTAGAGTCCGGAGGTGCGGAGAGCTGATCGCCCGAAAGCAAAAGATGATTGAGAGGGAGAGGGCCTTGAAAGCCCCGCCGCAAACACACTCAGCGAGCCACTCGGGTGAAGATTTGGGGATTGGGCTCAGGAGGAGGGGAAAGACTGGCCGGGCTGAGATTACAGCGCTTGGGTTCTATTCCTGGCTCTTCACGGATTTGCCCAAGAGGGCGGCAGGTAGGGCTGAGCTTTTCTCCAGGTCCCATTCCTGGGGAGGGGGGTGAAGGTCACAGCTGTAAGGTAGCCGGAGGGCCTCCACGCCAGAAGGAGGACATGGTCTGGACCACAGGAAGCCCTGACAGACCACCTCCCGCTCCTTCACGCGGAAAGGAGAAGCCGGTGGTACTGAACTAGAGACCCCAATTCCAAAGCCAGGATCTACCTCCAAGGTCCTCAGACCCCTGGCCTTCCAGAGCCGCCAGGGCCAAGGGTAGGAGCCCGCCCCGGAAGGCTGGGAGATGGGATGTGGAGAGAAGAGGATGCCTAGTTCCCTCGGGACCCTGTCTCAGGTCCGGTCACTGCATACAGCCCCGGCCCCTAAAGAGCCAGGGTAGCGGCAGAGTGGCCGGCAAGGAGACAGATAGCAGCAGGGCGCGCCTCTCACCCGAGGCCGGCGCCGTCACACCTGCCTCCGCCGGGCCGGGCACCTTCCCCCGCCCAGGGACCCACTCGCCTGGTCTAAGCTCACCCAGCGTCGGCCCCGCCGCGCGGCGCCCCGTCCAGATCCGGCCCGGCAGCGGCAGCGGCAGCGGCAGCGGCAGCGGCGTGGAGGGCGCGGGGGGCGGCAGCCGCCCCTGGGCGCGCAGAGCCGGGTCTCAGGAGCCCCTGGCCAGCTCTGCGCCCTGCATGGCCCGGACAGTCCCTCCTGCCGCTCAGCGCCGCCCGCCCGCGGCGCTCCTCCCCCCGCCTGCCTCCAGCAGCCCAAACCGGCTGCGCCGGCCGGCAGCGAGGCGAGCCGCAGAGCGAGAGGCGCAGGGCGGTCCCAGCGCGCTCGACGCCACCTGGCCCAGCCCGCTCTGCGCGCGCGACGGCCGGAGGCGACGCCCCCGTGGCATCCTGGGAATTGTAGTCCGTGCCGCAGAGACCCGTGCTTTCTTCTCGCCGCACGACCCGCCTTTCCCACCGTCCTCCCCTCCGCACCCAGTGCGGGTAGGACACTGGCCGGCTCCGCCTGGGCCCCCGAACTCCCAATCCTCCGGCATTCAGATCTGCGGGAGAGCACCCCCCACCTGCCACATTGGCGGAGAATTGGAGTCCGCATTAAGACCCGGCAGATTTCGGCAAAGGCCAGCACCACACCTATAAGAGCTGGAAGTGTGGTTTCAGACAGAGAAGGATTAAGTCTAGTGATAGTTCTGTGGCAAAAAGACTAGCGCATTGGACTTCTATTTGAACTTGGAATGGTTATTCGAAAGTTTTGGATTCGAGGTCCTCCCCCAATTCCATTTTTTTAATGTTCTATTATTTTTCCTTTAATGATTAAGGTATTGCATATATGTCCTTATCCTCCCAGTACCCCGCTCTCCCCTACCCCCTCGTGCCCTCACCCCCATATAGTCTGTGTCCATTGGTTATGCTTATGTGCACAAGTCCTTTGGTTGATCTCTCCCTACGTTTTTTGTTTGTTTGTTTGTTTATTTGTTTTTATGGACACAGTACCTTTCGAGGTTCAGAAGACCTGCAGATATGAGCACCTCTCACCTCCTCTTCTGGGACAATAAACTTTGTGCCCGGATTGCTGAGTAGGAATCCTTTCTCTTCCATAGTAGAATCTTGTAAGCAATCTGGCACACCTGATGGTACAAAGGGCACGGATCTAACTTTGGCTTCTGATCACTGAACCCTGCAGGAAATTAACCTCCAAGTCAGTGACCATATTTGTCATGCCACCTGCTAAGCCCTGGGCCACTGGCCAGCTTCCCAGCCCTGTGCAGCTAGCTCTGGGCCTCTGAAAACTTGGTTCCTTGATGTTGGTCATCCACAGTTATCATCTATCTTTGAATAGATAGGTCCCTTAATATCTTAATCTAGTAGAAGTCCTTAAAAAGGGGGTAGGGGCAGTTTTCAGGGTCTACTCATAGGGATTAAAAATGAAAATATGGTCTGATAAGTATTTGGACCTATTTCTTCCAGAGTATAGGGTGCATCCTTTTGGGGGAGCTAGGTAAATTGAAGCACCTTCTTCCTATGGGTGTTACAATCAGGAGGCAGTGCTGCACTGGGTGCTTATGAGTGTGGACATCCAACAGACTTGGGTCAACTCAATTGAAAGTCAAAGTCTCCATTTCTTCTATGTAAAAATGAGAACATACTGATGGTGATATCTCACAGGGGTTGAGTGGAGAGTCATGGGGAGTTTTTGAATTAGCACTTGACATACTTGCTATTTTTAAAAATATATTTTATTGATTTTTCACAGAGAGGAAGGGAGAGGGATAGAGAGTTAGAAACATCAATGGGAGAGAAACATCGATCACCTGCCTCCCGCACCTGGGACCTTTCAGTCCACAGGCCGATGCTCCATCCACTGAGCCAAACTGGCCAGGGCGACATACTTGCTATTGTAGTTTACAGGCTCATTGACCAAAAAGCTCCACAAAATCTAGGCAAGAAGATTATCTCTGGTTGTATCCACAGGGTTTAGGAAATAACAGAAGCTTGATAAAGGTTTGATAGGGAGAGTGATTTGGAAGCACTGATCTTATCCACACCAGGATCCAGGGAAATAATTACGATTATTTCCACATCAAGTGCAGAGGTCATATGCAAATAAGGCAAGTGAGAATTTGAAGGAGGGTGGTGGTGACCAGCCCCCCTGTTCTCCTCCACCCAGGCAGGTCACATTGGTGAAGCCAAAGTGGTAAGCCCACAGCCACGGGGCCAGGCCTGAGGGGTAGGTGCAAGGGGACAGAGGCAACAAGACAATCTGCCTTCAAGTTGCTTATAGTCTAGTTGGACACACAGAGTGGGCAGGTGCAGATTAGATCGCTAGACGAGGCTGCTCACCGCCCTTCGGTAATACCCACCACACGTTATTGTGATATCTTCTTTGCTTTGTAGTCAGATGCATTGGGGTTGCACTTCCAACCCCAACTGTGAGAAAAAACTGGGCAAATCACCTCTCCCCATGGAGCCTTAGTGTCCTCATCTGTAAAATGGGAATCCAGACATCATGGCCCCCGCTTCGTGGGGCTGGGTAGTAATCCAATGAGATGTGCATGGCAAGCTGTCAGCCCAGGGCTGGCACATGGAAGGCCTCAGCTACCACAAAGTTGCTCATCCAAGAGGGCGGGAACGCAGCTGTCTTGAGCACTGAGCACCCCCAGCGATCAGCAGACACTTAGCAGACACTAGTGGGCTTGTGCATCAGGGTCCATGGGCAGGGAAGGCTACGTGGTGGGAAGGGATTGGAAAGGCCTTGGTATGCCAGGTTTTGTCCTGGTGCGGTGAAGAGGCATTCCAGGTTCTTAGGAAGGGCAGGAGCTGGATGCTGTCATTTGTGGGACAGGCTCAGCCTAGGCTGACCTCACAGTGGGCTCCTTTCCACGGATATGACCCCCATGGGCCCTGCAGGAGGGAACATCAGCACTTGAATCTCCAGATTTGCCAGAGCCTCACATTTGGACTCACTTGAATTAAATCTCGCCAGAGTGGAGTGGTTTGACCCCTGGCACCCAGTAGGCACTTACCCCATTGATACCCAGTGGCGTGGCGTTAGTGACCTCTGAGTTGTGTAAGTCCACCCACTCTGGGTGTGTGCAAAATAAACAGCTCTGGTTTATTTGTTCATGATGACCTCAGAGGCCTCCAAGGGCCTTCCTGGCAGATGACAGCTTCCATTTCCTAAGTGTTTACTATGTGCTAAGCTACTTGAGCACATGGCCCTGTTGTGGGACAGGCACATTACTCTCCCTGTTTTACAGAGAAGAAAACAGAGGCCCCAAGGGAGCAGAGCTAGTCAGTGTGTGTGTGGGGGGGAGGCAGATCTGCCTTTAGCGCCTGTGCCCCCAAACACTGCTCTGGGACTAGCTGCAGGTGGCTTTAAAAAAAATTATATCTATCTATCTATACTATTGATTTTTTACAGAGAGGGAGAGAGAGGGATAGAGTTAGAAACATTAATGAGAGACTATCATCGATCAGCTGCCTCTTGCACCCCCCCACTGGGGATGTGCCCACAACCAAGGTACATGCCCCTGACTGGAATCAAACCTGGGATCTTTCAATTCACAAGCTGGCGCTCTATCCACTGAGCCAAACCGGTTTTGGCTGCAGGTGGCTTTTGTGGGGCAGAGGGAAAGGGAGCGCCCCTTTGGCTTCTGGGAGAGGACTCAAACCTGTGCGCCCTGAGACAAGGTCCACCACCCCCCGGCTGTGGCACCCAGGACACTTCCTGAACTTGAGACCCAGGGTCTTCACCATGAAGTGAGGCTGTGGTGGGGGCTGAATAAGGTCTTGCATGTGGGATGCTCAGCATGGGGCTTGACATCCATTCCTTCAAGAACGTGTGTGCGCCAAGCACTGTTCCCAGCAGTGAAAGAATAGGTCCCCGCCCTCATGGATCAGACATGGTAAGTAAATAAAATAAATTCAGAGTCCTCTGGCCCGGTAGCTCAGTTGGTTAGGGCATCATCCCCATTCATCAAGGCTGCAGGTTTGATCTCTGGTCAGGACACATACAAGAAGCAACCAATGAATGCATCAATAAGTGGAATGACAAATCAGTGTTTCTCTCCCTCTCCCTCTCTCTCTGAAAAACAAAAGTAAAAATAAATAAAAAGTTGAAAAAAAAGATAATTTCTGAGTAGTAAGCACTCTAACAAGGTGATGCGGGTAAAGGGAGGGGCTGTTTCAGATGGCGTGGTCAGGGCAGGCCCCTCTTGAGGTGACATCTGAGCACAGGCGTGAATAAGAAGCTGACTATGTAATGACTTGGGAACAAAGACAGGAAAAAGGTCAACATGGTTTATTAAGATGTATGTAAGTTTTTAGGCAGAAGTTGACAGGGCCTCGTGGCCTGTGGTGAGAACTTGGTACGTGGTAGCTACGGCCAGTATAATTTTCCTCCAACTGGTGACAAAAATGCCACCCTATGATCTGAAAACAGGACTCTGCCTGCCACCCCTGCTAATCCTAGTACCCAGCGCCCATCTCTTGCGTGCTGCAGAGGCCCAGGGTCGTGAAGGCACCAAGATGCTGGAGCAGGTGAGCAACCAGGCTGGGCAGAGGCCACCTCAAGTCTGACCTTTCTCCCTTAACCTTGGCACTGTTGACTTTGACTGCTCTGGGGACAATGCCTGGGACCTTGGGAAGCCATGGAAACAGCTGGCAGGTCTGGAAAGGCCTATCTTGCAAAGACCAATGAGGTATGAGGAGCTCCCTCCAACTTCCTCCTCTTTCTGCAGAAACTCAGAGCTCAGGAAAAGACTTTCCTTTTGAAAAGACAATGGCTCGCCGAAACTGGTTTGGCTCAATGGATAGAGCATCAGCCTGTGGACTGAAAGGCCCCCCAGGTTCGATTCCAGTCAAGGGCATGTACCTTGGTTGCGGGCACATCTCCAGTAGGGGGTGTGCAAGAGGCAACTAATCGATGTTTCTCTCTCATTGATGTTTCTAACTCTCTATCCCTCTCTTTTCCTCTCTATAAGAAATCAATAAAATATATTTAAAAAAAGAAAAGACAATGGCTTCAAAATCAGCCTCCAGCCTCCCACGTCCTCCCTCTGCCACTGGAGCCCTAGACTGGGATGTGGTGGGCACAAGACTGGCACACAGGCCTGGCAGTGCTGAGCAGGTCTGACAATTCCAGTCCCAGCCCCAGCTCTGCTCCTGTTGCCTCATTAGGAAAATACAACAAATAGTACCACCTTGCCCCATGACTGCTGGTGTCAATGTGATACCAGCTTACACACAGAAGTTGTAACTACGCTGTAGTTGTTATTATCCACAGGGAAACAGAGGCGCAGGAAAACCAAACAGGAGGCCTTGCAACCTGGTGTTCCAGTTGCTCCAGCCAAGTCCTTGCCTGTTCTGGGCCTTTGCTGCCCTGGCCACACGATGAGGAACCAGACCCTCAAAACTCTGACGGCTCTGCCATTCTAAATCCAGCCAGGGCCACGCACTCTTCCACGATCCCTTTTACTTGTCTGTCCCCATCCTTGGCTCTGACCCAGGACAATGCCTGGTTGCTGCTCCTCCACCTGTGCACACAGTGACGCAATGGCTCCTGCCTCTGGTCCTCTCTCGGATGCTCTCTGGAGCACCACCCCCTGAAACCTGCGCAATGACCAGAGGCGGTGCTGTGTTCATCCCCCTTTCGCTGATGAAATGGGGGAGGGTTTGCCCCAGGGCCTCGGCTAGAAAACCCCAGAGGAGTGAGGAGCTTCAATCTGGCCAACTCCAGGCCAGAGGTGGGCCAAGCGGCTGAAGCAGGGAGGCAGGGAGGCAGGTGCTGACCGATGGAGCGGATACTCCCTCCCCCTTCTCCGGCCTTCGGGATTGGGTCGCATCCGCACTCCTGGGAGGACATCCAGGCTGGCACCTGGAAAGCCCTGGCTGGCAGGGAAGGCTCTAGGACCGGTGTGGACCAGCGCGAGTCCAGATGGCTGGTTCCTGCCCACGTGTGGCTCTCCTTGGGCAGCTCCAGGCTCCCTGGGAGTCGCCCGGCACTGCCTGCCCCCACCTGGGTTGGCCTCAGAGCCACTCAGGAGTGTTAGGGCAAATTCTGATAAGTAATATCCAAGGGTCAATGTTCAAGAAGAGGAGCAAAGGGAGTGGCCCGGAGCCTTCGGCCTCCAGGGGGAGTGGGCGGGTGAGGGGAGGAGGGCCTAGGGCTGGATGTGCATGGGGGGATCCGTGATGCCCAACTCCTCTCGCAGAGCCCTCAGGGGCTGCTCCCAGCGCCGCTCGTAGTACAGGTTGAGGACACACGGGGCCCTGCGCCCGTTCTCCACTGCCCATGGGACCAGCTCCGAGTACAGCACCTGCAGTTGCCTGTGGGGCCGCAGAGGGAGAAAACAGAGGGTCCTGAGTGCTGGCAATGTGCCCAGCAGCCCACGTGCATTTCCTCAGCGGGTCCTCACACACACCCAAGAAGAAGTAGTGATTATCGCCAGTTTTCCAACGAGGAAGCAGAAGCTCAGCGAGAATCCCGTGTCCGAAGCCACACATCCTCACCGCGCCAAGCCCGGGTTTAAATTTCAGGCTACCTCACTCCAGAAACTAATGCTAGATTGCCCCCAGCTGCAACTGCATCCTCCTGCCCTGGCACCGAGGCCTGGCCAAGAGCCCTAGGGGCCCAGGAACTGTCCAGGCTTCATTTACTACCCTGGAGGCCCCGGGCCAGGCCCGTTCTCCCCCCTGGCTTCCTGGAGGACCCCCCGAGTAATGACTTGGGAACAAAGACAGGAAAAAGGTCAACATGGTTTATTAAGATGTATGTAAGTTTCTAGGCAGAAGTTGACACGGCCTCGTGGCCTGTGGTGAGAACTTGGTACATGGTAGCTACAGCCAGTATAATTTTCCTCCAACTGGTGACAAAAATGCCACCCTATGATCTGGAAACAGGACTCTGCCTGCCACCCCTGCTAATCCTAGTACCCAGCGCCCATCTCTTGCGTGCTGCAGAGGCCCAGGGTCGTGCAGGCACCAAGATGCTGGAGCAGGTGAGCAACCAGGCTGGGCAGAGGCCACCTCAAGTCTGACCTTTCCCCTTAAATACCAGCTGCTGAGGAAGGCTGCATGCTCTTCCTCTTCCTGGAGCCATGGCCCCTCTGACATTTCCCTTGATCCCTCACCCCATGAGAACTTACTGGACACTGAGTCGGATTGGTCCAAAGAGCGCGCCCAGGATGCACATGGGCAAGCCGGTCTGCACAGCCTCAAACCACTTCACCACGATCTCCCCTGCGGGACAGGGTAGGGATGGGGGTGGAAGGTGAGGAGGGGCCAGGAAGAGGCCAGGGACGCTCATGGCAGGGGACAGTGAGGTGTCTGCTCCCCTCTAAGGTGCCTCTTCTCTACAAGGCGTCAGCCATACTCATCTGATCTGTGCTGTGCCCAGGCACTTGGCGTGGAGGGGTTGAGAGGGCCCAAGAAAGAGCCAGAGGAAGGGAGGGCTGGAGAGGAAGTCTGAGGTCAGAACGCAGAGGACCTGACAGCCAGGCTAGTTCCTACAGGCCTCAGGGAGCTCCGGAGGGTGTCGGGAGAGGGAGCCTGCTGCTTGGATGCTGCTCTGTCTGTGCAGGAGCCGTGAGAGGTACTGGGGATGGCACAGATGCTACCAAGATGTACGGATAAAGCACAAAACGAGGCACTGCGGCAGCTAACTGGTGGGTGGCAGAGACAGGCGAACCCTGCCCTGGCCCTAAACACAGACCCTGATGGACGGGCTTGCTGGAGCATCCCGCCCTGCCCAACCCCCGCTCCCAAGGCAGCGGGCACTCACCCAGGATGTTGGTGGGCATCCCCAGCAAGGTGTGAAGCATGTCGTGCACCTCTCGGTACCGCTGGATCACGTACGCCAGCTCCTCATCGTCCACGAATCGGGTGGGTGCCCGGGTATCTGGGGAGACCCTCTGACAACCATGAGCCTCCCCTAGACCCCTTTCCACAGTTCGAGGCCCCACTGCCAGCCTCTCCTGGACTCTGTCAACCACTCCCACCAAACTCATACCCTCAAGACTCCCTGGGGACTCAACCTCTGCCTATACCTGCGGACAGGGGAATCCCTCATGGTATTGGCAAGCCCTCAGCCCACGCCAACTCACACACAGGTATGTAGCCTGTTGGGATATTTGGTAAAAAAGCCCCAGGGAGAGGGGGAAGCAGGATCTTAATGGGGATAGAACTTCAGTTGGACAAGAAAAGGCTCCGGAGGTTGGTCTCATAATAATGTGAGTATACTTAACTCTACTGAGCTGTCCATGTAGAGATGGATAAGATGGGAACATGTGAAAAATTTCCTTTATTGGTTGACTCATGTTAGAGAAGGGAGAGAGAAACATGATTTGTTGTTCTACTTATTGATGCATTTATTGGCTGATTCTTGTAGGTACCCTGACTGGGGATCAAACCTCAAACCCTGGCATATCAGGACAATACTCTTAAGTACCAAATGAGCCTGGCCAGGAAAAATGGGAAATTGTGTGTGTGTGTGTGTGTGTGTGTATGTGTATGTGTTTTACCACAATTAGAAATTGAGGGGGGAAAAAGATCCTTAGCGTGAGCTAAGGATCCTAGCCTGTTTTCTCCCACCACCCTCGGCTTCACTTCAATAATTCCTGCTCATCCTTTATGAACCCGCTTAAGTGTCCCCTTCAAGGGCAGAGTGTTCCTGGCCTTCAGACTGATCAGGCTCACAGTAGCATGCCGTACCTCCCTATGACACTTGACATGACTGTGACTGTATCCTGTTTAACGCATGTGCTTTTTGTTTTTAATGCATGTGCTCGTTAACGTCTCTTTCCTATACAGCACCACTTGCCACGTGTGGCCACTGAGCCTTGAAATGAAACAAATTCCAGCTGAGACATGTTATACGTGAAAATTACACACTGGATTTCAAAGACTTAGTATGAGGATAGTGTCAACTCTCAAGAATTAAAAAATATTCACTACATGCTGAGAATGACCATAGGCTGAGAACTGATAGCAGGGTCGCCTAAGACCATCGGAAAACACAGATATTTACATTACCATTCATAACAGTAGCAAAATGACAGTTATGAAGTAGCAACGAAAATAGTTTTATGGTTGGGGGTCACCACAACACGAGGAACTGGATTAAAAGGTCGAGGCATCAGGAAGGTTGAGAATCACCCATCTAGAGGGTGGATACTGGTATAAGCCTCAGATACAGATAAGAAAAGTGAGCCCGCTGGTGTGGCTCAGAGGTTGAGTGTGGACCTATGAACCAGGAGATCACAGTTTCGATTCCAGGGTTGCTGGCTTGATCCCCAGGTGGGAAGGGTGTGCTGGAGGCAGCCAATCAGTGACTCTCTCTTATCATTGATGTTTCTCTCTCTCTCTCCCTTCCTCTCTGAAAACAATTAAAAATATATATATTGGGGAGGGGAAGGGGAAGAGACTCAGAGAGATAAAGTAACTTGCCCAAAGATCACACAACTCATCAAATGGCTGAACCAGGATTTGAAACAAAGTTTGCTGGATCCCAAAGCCAACAGCTTTGACGCCCATTATTGATAAGCCTTGTAGGTGCCCCGGAAGATAAACATTAGGTCCCTTTGCCTCAGATAAGGCATCCGAGCCTCAGAAAAGCCAAATGACTCAAGAGGCTGGATTCTAACTCGCCTACTCTTAACTCCAAAGCTCATGCCTTACAATCTTGATGCCACAAGGACAACTGGCCACATTCCTTACCAATGTCCACTCAGGGAGGGTGATTTGAGTTTGAACTTTGAACTAAATCTCTGCTGGTTCAAAGGTGTTACTTCACCTTTCAAGAGCTGCTGGTTCCCATCGTCTGGAAGTGTCACAATTGCTAGGGCTGTTACCACAGCTGGGGCTGTGGGGGCAGGTTATTTTTTCCAGGATAATAACCTAGAGCGGTGGTTCTCGACTGTCCACCAGGGGACGTCTGCAAAGTCTGGAGACATGTGTGGTAGCTAGGACATAGGGCGGTGCTACTGTCAGCCGGTGGGGAGGGAGGCTGCTGAACAGTCTACAATGCACAGGACAGCCCCACAACAAAGAATGACCCGGCCCCAAAAATAATAGTGCCAAGGTGGAGAAACCCAACTCCAAAGAAACCTTCAGTCCCTCCATCACCTCCTCAGCCTGGCTGGCTCCTGCGCTGGGCGGGATAGGTCCTTTGTGGGGGGAGGTGTACATGTTGGCTGGTGGGGGGAGGGGCAGGGGCTGTCTCCTAAAGTGCTTTTAAAAAAATATATATTTTATTGATTTTTTACAGAGAGGAAGGGAGAGAAATAGAGAGTCAGAAACATCGATGAGAGAGAAACATCAATTAACTGCCTCCTGCACACCCCCCACTGGGGATGTGTCCGCAACCAAGGTACATGCCCTTGACCGGAATCGAACCTGGGACCCTTCAGTCTGCAGGCCGACGCTGACGCTCTATCCACTGAGCCAAACCGGTCTCGGCTAAAGTGGTTTTATAAGTCAGATGTTCCTCTCCTGCTTGAAACCCTCAGTGGCTTCCTATTGATCCTATTACAAAATACAGACTCCTCCCCATGGCTGGCAGGCCGGGCCCGGCTGACCTCTCCTCTGTGGTCACATGGGTAGGTCTCCCTCTCCTTACACTCACAGAGCCTCACACTTGCCAATCCCTCGGAATGGTCCTCCTAGGTTTCCTCAGGGCTGGCTCTTCCTTCTTAGTCTCCCACGACCGCCGCATCAAAAGTGGCCAACCCCACTCCCATGCTCGTCCTGTCTCCTGATTGCTGTCCTCATAGCACCGCCTGCTAGAATGGAAGCCCACAGGCAGGCTCTTGGCTGTTTTATTCACTGTATCCAATTACTATGAACAGTGTCTGGTAAGTTCTAAGTACTCAATAAATACTTTACATGAGTTTTTATAGGACCATTTCTTTCTTTTACTGTTTTATTTACCTCCCCAGCCAGAATATTAGCTCCATGAGGGCAGAGATCCTGCCTGGCAAGTTCACTATTATGTCCCCGGGACCTGGAACAACGTGATGACACATGCCAGATGCTAAACACATGAATGAGTGCCTCAGTAATTGGGACCCTCCCCCATCCACAACCTGCCACCGGGGGCTGGAGAGTGCCACGACCTGCCATCCCCTAGGGAAGCATATGCTCTGGAACTGGGGACACAGGGCAGCGGTTAGCAGCATGACCTGGGTGTGCATACCACGTACCGCTTCCATGAACACTGGCTGTATAAAGCCAGCAAGTTGCTTAACTCCTCTGAGCCTCATCTGTTCAAAGGGGATAATAAAACATACTTGATGACATTATTGGGAGGGTTCAGCAAGATCATGTGAGCCTGGCATCTGGAGTGCAGGAAGAGGTTAATAAATGCAGCCAGAATTCTCCACTGGAGCGGTTACTGGCCCATTAACCTGTCCCAGAGAGCATGGCAAAGCCTTGGCACAAGAGACTGAAAAGCACTCCCGCCCATGGTGGCAACTCAGGCCCCCTCCTTCCTTGGGACGTCACTCCCATGCCACTCATCTGAGCTTCCTGGCGGGGGCCAAAGGCACAGGCACTGGGCACTCACATTCACATCCAGGAAACGGAGATACTCGCGGCCGAGGGAGCCCTCAGGCAGGCTCTGGAGCTTGTCCAGGTCAAGGGTGGACAGAGAGATCCGGGGACGCTCCCTGCAAGGCAGAAGGCAGGACCTGGGTACTGGGAAGGCACCAGCTAAGGCAGGTAAAAGGCCCAGCTGGAATAAGGCTGAGAGAGGTGAAGGGGCAGAGCAGCAAGGGGGCCACAAGTCATGCGGGAGCTTCTTCCGGTGGCAGGGACTGTACTTCCTGCCTACAGGGGCACAGAGTGGGCAGGCAGACCTCAGAGGTGGTCAGGGTACTCACCAAGGGCACTCAGGAAGGAGTGAGGGCACAGCTAGCACGTGTTATGGGAGCTTAGAGAGGGTATGGAGCCCTGTGGCTGGAACTGGGCCCAGGCCACCGGATGGCACTACCCAGGGGTCATCGTAGTGTCTGTATGAATGGCATCCCTGGAGTTTAGCAGTGCCCAGCCTGTGCAGCCATCCACAGCCAGGATAGGGGGAGCTCCCTAGAGGAACAGGACTGACACAATGTGACTCAAGAGCCCCCACAGAATATTCCCAACCAACACCCCAGGCAGAGCTGGCACCTACTGCAGGATCTGGGCGCCCTCTGAGTCCCTCTTCATCTGGTCCCTGAGGACCTTCAGGGCATAACATCCTGTGGTCTCCCCTAGCACTGCAACCATGTCTGAAAGGAAATTGGGACAAATACGGGATATGATTAGGTAAGTTACTTGACCTGGTCTGAGTCTTACTTTCCTAACTGATAAAAGATCTACCTCTCAGGAGGATTCATGTAAAACACTTAGCAAATCATCCCGCACACTTAGGGCTCAATATACCTATACTCGTTAATATTGCTGTTACCAGTCTCCTGGGATGAGGTGGCTCTGGTTAGCACAGTGCTTTGTGGATCACTGTCACATCCATTATCACCACACACTCTATAGTCTTCATTGACAAGTACAAGCTTTGGGATGAGTGTATTGGGTTTGTCCAGGTGCAGTCACTATCTAGGTGATCTTGCATAAATTGCTTCACGTTTCCAAGCCCCAGTGTCCTAGATTGTGAAGGGCAGATAACACCTTTCTAATAGGGTTAATGTGGAAATCAAACCATCATGCATAATAAAGCACTTAGCACAGGGAGCAGCCAGAATGTGCTCAGTGAGCAGTCAGCATTATCATTTTTTTACATTATTTTTTTACAGAGAGGAAGAGAGAGGGATAGAGAGTTAGAAACATCAATGAGAGAAACATTGATCAGCTGCCTCCTGCACACTCCCCACTGGGGATGTGCCCGCAACCAAGGTACATGCCCTTGACCGGAATCGGCCGGAATTGAACCTGGGACTCTTCAGTCCGCAGGCTGAGGCTCTATCCGCTGAGCCAAACCGGTTAGGGCAGCATTAACGTTTTTATTAGCAGGAGTGATAGTACTCTCCAGACGCAAGAGGCCTGGGAGGGATGAGAAAGGCATGGTAGACTCTTAGGATGTTGTAGTGATGCACCCAGCAAATGTCTATCGAGCCTTTATTACAGGCCAGGCTCTATCCAAAATGCTGTCAATACAGTGGAATGGGGCAGTCATGGTCCCTAACTTACAAAGTTTAATTTCCGGTGCAATGTTATCATTCAATGGTGCTTATAAACCACCTATTTAGTCCAGAGGTTGTCATTATGGCTGGATGACAGACTATCCTGGGAAGTCGTTTCAAAGGGGAAAGGCTCAGATTCCAGGCCCCTTCCTCCTGCCCTCTCCACACCTGACAGATACGGAACCCAGGCATCTGCATTTTTATGAGTGTAGCGGGTGATGATGAGGTACAGCCACCAGCCTTGGGTAGCTGGACCTAGTCTATTTCCCAGTGACCCGTAGGAAACGGACATTGTGACAGAGGTTGGGGCCTGCCCAGGCTTCCAAGGCAAGGGCCTCCCGGGGAGCGCGGGGCCTGGCCGCCTTACCGTGGCGGTACGGGTTGTAGAGGGCCATGCCCGCAGAGCCGGCGGTCAGCAGCACCTTCTGCAGCAGGGACGTGGGGATGTGTTCCGGGTAGAGCAAGCCGGCGCCATGGCTGGCCGTTCGGAGGGGCGCATCTGCGGGGCAAGAAAAAGGCCCGGGTCAAAAGCGCGTGGGGCGGCGGCGGCGGGGGGTAGGGGGTGGGGTGGGGAGCGCAACCCCAAAACTTCCTCCGTCTCCGCCACTTGCCTGCAGCAGGGCCCGGGAGAGCTCGGAACAGACGGAGGGGACGCAGGGTCCCGCGCAGCAGCGTCACCATGACAGCACGGCTGCGCTCAGGTCGCGGGAGGACAGCCGGGCCGCAGCTCTAAACGTCCCAGGAGACGGAGCGCCCGGAAGGTCAGAACTCGGTCCCTGTTACTCTGAGGAGAGCCTTTGGAAGGCGGGGAGTAAGGCCGAGGAAAGGGCCCTCTCGCCAAATATGAGCGGTGAACCCAGGCGATCTGTCTGCCTCCTACTCTACGGATGAAAACTCCCCGTTTCACTTCACCCCGGAAGGGTCTCCCCGTCAGACCCGCCTGCACGGGGCTTCGGCGACGGAACACACTTCCTTTTCCGTACATCGTTTCCCCCCGGAGGATGTTAGGGGGAGGACCACTTCCGGCTGCGAAGCCTGACGGCGCCCATTGTAAGGACTCTATTTGGAGCGGGACCGTACGGCACTTCCGGTCGTCCGGCTTTGCCTGTATCCTGCGCCGCCTCGGGCTGCAGACATGGGGGCGGCCGGCGTGGCCCGGCTGCACGGGCTCTTTGCGGCCTACAAGCCCCCGGGGCTGCACTGGAAGCACCTGCGGGACACGGTGGAGCTGCAGCTGCTGAAGGGTGAGTGCCTCTAGCCAGACTCCCGATTGCGTGCCCGATCTCCCGGGAATCCTTTTCCGCTTCTGATCCTCTAGCAAAATAAAGTCATGTGATCTAGTCGCCTGGGCAGAGCGTTTTTCTAATCATGTGTTCCGCCTCACCTTTCCTTGGGTTCAAATGGGGAAACAGACTCGGTATTGTCCGTTGTCATGAGCAGTAAGTAAGTAATAAGTTGGGATTTGAACTCATCTGTTGCCTAAACTACTGTTCGCTGGTGCGCACCGTGGGTCCTCGTCTGTCTCCCGCATCTCCGCACTTCCCTGCCCCGCCTCCCCCAGGTGTTTGGACAGAATTGACAAGATGTCCTTTACCGGTGTATGCACAGGTCTCAATGCTAGGAAGCCTCCTGCCCCTCAACAGCGTGTTCGCTTTCTGCTGGGCCCCGTGGAAGGCAGCGAAGAGAAGGAGCTGACCCTCACGGCCACCAGTGTGCCCAGCCTCACCAACCATCCGCTGGGTAAGGCACATTCGGGCAGGGTGGGGGTCACTTCGCAGGAAACCGCTGCCCGGAGTCAGTGTCCCAGTCAGTGCTCAGACTCCTGTCCCAGACTTTTGGAGGGCCACAGTGGAGTTGAAGTGTTTGGCAAGGAATATGCAAATTTTAGTAAATACTTCAGGCTTTGCAGGTTCAGGTCTGCCATTGGAGTGCAAAAGCAGCTGTAGGCAGTATGTAAAGCAACGAGCCTGGCTGTATCTCAATAAAACTTTATTTATGGATACTGACCTTTGAATTTCATGTAATTTTCATAAGTCACAAACTATTATTCACTTGATTTTTTTTTTAAAATATATTTTATTGATTTTGTACAGAGAGGAAGGGAGAGAGATAGAGAGCTAGAAACATCGATGAGAGAGAGAGTCTTGATCAGCTGCCTCTTGCACACCCCCTACCGGGGATATGCCCGCAACCAAGGTACATGCCCTTGACCGGAATCGAACCCGGGTCCCTTCAGTCCCCAAGCCGACGCTCTATCCATTGAGCCAAACCGGTTCCGGCCACTTGATTTTTTTTTTTTAATCTGTGAAAAATGGGGGGAAATTTAACTTATGGGCCATTATAAAAACAGGCTTGAGGATTTGTCCTGTGGACTGTAGTTTGCTGAGCTTTACTGTTCTCAGCCTCCAGGTAGGAATTGAGACCCTTGGGTAGCAGTCTTAAGGAGGTAGAAGATGATGGGAGGCTTTAGGAAGACCAAGGGGAACCTCTAAACCTCTTCAGCAGTGACTCTGTAACAATCACAAGTGTGGTATATTAAGGGTCTGCTTTGTACTAGATACTGCGTAAGCCAAATAACTTCTCATTGAAACTTCACCATAATCCTATGAGGTCCAACCTATAGCTGTAAGGCTACATACTAATTATGAGGTCATTACACAGCCCAGAGCCAACCTGATTTGTTGAGGAAAAGTACTGCATTTGTTTCTTTCTAGTACGTGGACCAGCATTCACCAGCCTGAAGATTGGCATGGGACACCGGCTGGATGTCCAGGCATCTGGGGTGGTTGGTAGGTGAGGGGGTGCAGTCATAGGGGCTTGGGGGAGGATTGGGAGATACCAGGAGCCCAGCCCATTTCTAACCTGACACCCATTTCCCACCACTATGCTCCCCTGATTCTCGCCCCAAATCTGATCAGCTGGTGGAAGGGGTGGGGGAAGTCAGAATCACCTATCTATATCAAGTGATCTCTGCATGTGATGTGGTACAAAGCCATTTGTGCACATGTATTCACCACAGCAGCCTCACTAGGTAGGTATTATATGATTTTATGAATGAAGCCAGTAAGGTTCCACAAGTTTAGGTGACTTGTCCTAGGTCGCATGGCTAGTGAATGCCCTTGGTCCAGAGAGGGGAAGCCATCATCCACTTTCGTGGGGTAGCCGAGCACGTGACTCTGGCCTCACTAGCGAGGGTCTGGCCACACAAAGCCCTGAGTCATGAGCCATCTGTGTCCCCAGGGTCAGGCGGTGTCTACATCCGTATGCGACAGTCACTCCCCTTGTCTTGCTTCCTGGGGCACTGGCAGGCAGACATGATCTCATGCCCCTTTCCCTGTCGAGGCGTGAATGGAGGATCATTCTCCTTCAGCCAGAGGGAGAAACAGCCGGGGAAAGGCAGGGAGTGGCCACAATGCCCTCATTTATGGGGCCCTTGCTTTGTGCTGTCTGCTTCCTGTGCACAGCCTCAGTCTTCACGACCAGGGCCAGGCAGTGTTTCCATCCCCACTTGGCTGATGAAGAGCCTGAAGCCCGAGGAGGTGAAGGACATGCTTAGAGCCTCTCCTGATTTCAGTCCGGTCTCTCTGAACGGGCCAGCGGTCTCTTGCTTTTGAGAGCATCAGAAACCCCTGGAAAGCCCTGGCCAGTGTGGCTCGGTTGGTTGGTTGGTTGTCATCCGGTACACCAAAAGGTTGCTTGTTCAGTTCCTGGTCAGGGCACATACCCAGGTTGCAGGCTTGATCCCAGTAAGGGGCATGCGGGAGGCAGCCTATCAATGTTTTCCTCTCATAGTTATGTTTCTCTCTCTCCCCCTCTCCGTTCCTCTCTCTCTAAAAAATAATTTAAAATCCTTTAAAAAAGAAAGAAAGAAACCAACCCCTGGAGAGTTTGCTAAGCATCCTAGGCCCCTCCTCCCCACAAGTCAGAGTCAGTGCTGATGGGTGGGACCCAGGAATCCACACTGTCATATATACCCAGAGGAGCTCACTCGCTTCCTGTACAAGAAGCTGTCCTTGCCCCCTGCTGGCTTCAGCGGCATCGGAGGTGGGAATATTCTGATGGCAGGTGTGGGGGTGGGGTCCGAGGGAAATGGGAAGGGGGTGCCGGATGTGAGATCAGCCTGGGTTCCTTTCAGTGCTCGGCGTGGGACAGGGATGCAGTCTCCTCACCGACATGTACCACGCACACCTCACCAAGGTACAGGGGGCTGGGAACAGCCTGCTTATCCTCTGATCCTTTCCCTGGGGTCACTGGTGGGGTTCTGAAGCTGAGAGGATCCCATTGGGAACAGCCAGACCATAAGGAAGCATGTGTTTATGGCCACATGCTATGGAAGAGTAAGTGACGTAACCATGACAGCTGGCATTATTGCATGCTGACTGCCCTGTGCTAAGCACTGTCTGTGGACTCCCTGCAAAGTAGGATCTGTTGTTAACCCTTTCTGCAGATGAGGGGACTCAGAGAGAGGATGTCACTTGCTCAGGGTCTTGCGGCCTGAAAGGGACCAACCTGGAGTTTGACCCCGGATCTGTCCAACACCGGAGCCTGATCATGACCCCACTTCATTCTCTCCCCAAGACTGAGAGGTGGATGTCACAGGCCAGGCATCAGGGCGATCTGGCACCACGAGTGTGTGCAATGGGTGTCATGTTAGAAAGTCCGTGTTTTTGATGGTTAAGAGCACAAATTCTGGAGCCAAAAGCAGCTTCTACCTCTGCCAGCGATGGGTCCTTGTGTGGATGACTTAACATCTGTGCGCCATCTCTTAAATGGGAACGGTAATAGTACCTCTTCTGTACTCGGGTCCCTTTGAAGATTAGATCAGTGACTACATGCCACGTAGCCCATGGTAAATGCTGAGTGTCACTGTTATCTCTGTCATCATTACTCTGAGTTGTGGCAGAGGCATTCAGCCGCATGGATCCTACTCTGAGGGGGTGAAAAAAGCCCACAGGGCGTGCTAGGAGGGGGCCAGCATGACAGATGGTCAGGTTTGTGGAGTGGAGAGGCGTGGAGTGGTTGCAGTATGTCCTTCAGTGCCCTTGGTGGGCTGCCAGGCTGACTGTCGTAGGGAAGTCCAGCATCTTCCCCCTGGGGGCAGTGGGCAGCCAGGCAGGGACTGAGCGCTGAGCTCCCTGAGGACCCAATGGCCCCAGCCTCAGCCTAGCACCTCCCTCCTCAGTGCTGAGGCTCAGAGCAGGGACACAACTGGACCTTCCCCTCCCTGTCCTCGCAGGATTACACGGTTCTCGGCCTCCTGGGCAAAGCCACAGATGACTTCCGCGAGGACGGGCGGCTGGTGGAGAGGACGACGTATGGTGAGCGCCCCTGGAGCCCGGGCGTGTAGGAGGAGCAGCCGAGGCCTCAACCCCCAACGGAGCTGAGGATGCTCTGAATCCTTCAAATTCTGAGGCTGGTTTGGGGGAGGCAGTTTGTCAGGCTGCTGTTGCCCAGCTTTGCAGCTACCTGTGTGCTAACCATCCCTGTCTTTTCAGACCACGTGACCAGAGAGAAACTGGATCGAATCCTGACCGTGATCCAAGGCTCCCATCAGAAGGCCCTGGTGACGTAAGTGGGGCCCCACCCACACCTCCCTGGAACGGCCCTTTAGGTGCTGGAAGATCAGTTGTTGTGTCCCATCGGGCTCCCTTAGCCTCCCTCAGGGGCAGATTCCATGGATCTTTTCAGAGTCTGAAACCAGACACGAACCATTCATTTCTTTTTTTTTCTTTTTTTTTAATTTATTGATTTTTTACAGAGAGGAAGGGAGAGGGAGAGAAAGTTAGAAACGTCGATGAGAGAGAAACAACTAGCTGCCTCTTGCACACCCCCTACCGGGGATGTGCCAGCAACCAATGTACATGCCCTTGACCGGAATCGAATCTGGGACCTTTCAGTCCGCAGACCGACGCTCTACCACTGAGCCAAACCGGTTTCGGCCATTCCTTCCTTCTGTGTTGGGTCATAGGCCAGGCCTTGGGGACACTCAGGGGAACAGACCACCAGCTGCTCTCCTAGGGAGTGTACGATCTAATGAAGAGGCAAGCCAGGGACCCGCATCATGGCACAGCCAGGGAGCGGGAGCAGTCAGCCCTCGTGTGAGTTGAAGTCGGGGGAGTGTGCAGAGGAGGACAGGCTGCATTTACAGATTGGAAGGGCAGAGAAAACAGCTGCTGTGGGGCCCCTGGAGGGGAAGGGGAGATGGAGAGCTTCAGGAGTGGACAGGGCCAGGGCTAAGCATCAGCCCAGTTCCTCACCCCACGCCAGCCACCCAAGCCTGTCCACCTCCTGCTCCCAGGTACTCCCACCTCGATCTGCAGACCCAGGAGGCCTACGAAATGGCCGTGAAAGGCTTGATCCGGCCCATGAACAAGTCCCCGATGCTGGTAACCGGCATCCGATGCCTCCGCTTTGCACCTCCAGAATTCCTCTTAGGTAAGTTGCCCAGGAAGTGGGAGCAGGGAGATGGGACTCCACGGAATGCCCGGCACGTGCCAGCCCCGAACTCTGCTGCCCAAGGCGGCAAGGACTGCCTGCCTACCAGCCCCGGCTGGATTTGGCGATTGTAGGCACACAGAACAAATGCTGTCCTGTCTTCTGCCAAGTCACCCTTTGTAGCCAGGACTTAACAAGCAGCTGTTAGGTTTAGTGGCTCCAGAGCCACCTGTTGCTTCTAGCAGATGTGGGCAGTCAGACAGCATTCTCACTTCCCCTGTCCCACCCAACCTAGCCTTCTCCCTCTCCCCCACCACTCACACTGCTTCTTCTCCACTGGTCATATTAACGAGGGCTCCATTTCTGGGCACTAACCAAGACTCCCCATGCTAAACACCTGATAGTATCAGTTATCCCTTGGACTCCTCATAGCCACCCATTTTACAGATGAGCAAACCAAGTCTTAAAGCAGTGCTTTGACTTTGACCTGCCCACACATCACCTGGGGGTCTTCTCACAAGGCACCTTCTGACTCAGCAGGTCTGGGTGGGGCCTGGGATTTTGTCTAATCACCTTTCCCTGCGGGGTGGCCCTCAGGCAACACTGAATAGCAAAGCCCTGGAGAACTAAGGGGTTTTGCTGAGGTTATTTCACGGGTGTGGATCTAGATTAGCCGGCACCCGAGGCTGTGCTGCTGACTACGTCTGTTGCCTGTCTGTTGTTGCGTGTCGCCGGCAGAGGTGCAGTGCATGAACGAGACGCAGAAGCAGCTGCGGAGTCTGGTGCATGAGATCGGCTTGGCGCTGAAGACCACCGCTGTCTGCTCCCACGTGCGGCGCACGCGGGATGGCTGCTTCACCCTGGACGATGCCCTCCTGAGGACCCAGTGGAACCTGAACAGCATCCAGGACGCCATCCAGGCCGCAGCCCCCCGGGTGGCAGCCGAGCTGGAGAAGAACTTGAGGCTGCAGCTGGGCACCCAGCAGCTCCAAGGTCCAGGCTGGCAGGGGGACAATGAGGGGCCAAGCCCTGCCTTGGAAGGTCGGACTGCTGGTGGGGCAGCGGTGGATAAAGGTCAGAGTTGTGCATGAGCTGGATGGCTGACTGCAGAGAGAGCAGGGGAAGCTCTATTACATGTGACGTGAACCTTTGAAGCTGTAGGAGAAAACAATTGACCCAACTGAAAAGGAAAAACTTCTACATGGAGAAAAAGACTATATGCGCATGACAGACTGATAAAAATATTTGCATCTGGCCAAAGCCTGTTTGGCTCATGGATAGAGCGTTGGTCTTCAGACTGAAAGGTCCCACGTTTGATTCCGTTCAAGGGCATGTACATTGGTTGCAGGCACATCCCCGGTAGAGGGTCTGCAGGAGGCAGCTGGTCGATGTTTCTCTCTCATCAATGTTTCTAGGTTTCTATCCCTCTCCCTTCCTCTTTGTAAAAAATCAATAAAATATATTTTTTAAAAAAATATTTGTGTCTGAACCTTGAGCTGTGGAATCTGTTGACTCCAGGCAGTGTCAGATTTTAGATAAACTGTAGGACACAGTCTGGACCCCCTCCTCCCCCCACCCCGAGCTGTAGAATTACTTAGTGTGGGAGACGCCTCGTGCCTGGTGTCAGAAGCGATGCGTACAGAGGACAGAGTTTCCCTTCATCTGTGTGTGTGTGTAGCATGTGTGTGTGGAATGAACCCCAATGGTTAATTTTTTTACCCAAGTGGAATTATACTCAGTGTGGCAAATGGCTTCTCTCCTTGAACAATAAGAGCGTGGCCATTTCTGCCTGTCTGCCCATCAGGTATGGTGCTCCTTCCTGCAGACCCTGTGGGGGAGGCCAGGTCACAGGGCTCTGGTGAAGAGCTCGGCCTCGGTTTTGTCATCTTACCGAACCTCTCAGGGTGAAGAGCCACATGCTCAGTGTTTGTTCCTGCGGAAGGGCCCTCAGCCCTTGGCCTCTGGCAGCGATAACTTCAAGAGACGGCAGACATTGGCTGCCACACTCTCTTCCTGAAAGGCTAGACTGATGCCATGGCTGCAGATGGCGCCCAGGACCCAGGGCCCAGCCCGGAGCCTGGCAGGTGTGGTCAGCAGGCCAGTGACCTGAACCGGGACCTCCACCTGTGCTTGCTCAAGCCATATTCACCGCCACTTCCTGTTTAGCATCTCCAGATATCCGACTACCCCCACCCTTACACCGGCCCTCCCTCAGACTAGAACCCCCAGGGAATTTAATCCCCATTTTACAGATGGGGAAACTGAGGCCTAAGAAGGTAATACTTGCCTGGGCCTCACAGCAAGTCAAGTGTAGATTTGAACTGGACACTCTGGCTCCAGAGCCCATGCTCTTAATCTCTCTTAACCATGACCTCTCTTTTTTTTTTTTTTCTTCTTTTAAAATATATTTTATTGATTTTTTACAGAGAGGAAGAGAGAGGGATAGAGAATCAGAAACATCGATGAGAGAGAATCATCGATCAGCTGTCTCCTGCACACCCCCTACTGGGTATGTGCCCGCAACCAAGGTATATGCCCTTGACCGGAATTGAACCTGGGACCCTTCAGGCCGCAGGCTGACACTGAGCCAAACCGGTTTTGGCAACCTCTCTATCTTGACGTTGGTGGAACCTAGGCCCAGCCCTGGGTTGTGTCCCTAGTGAGATTTTCCTATTGAGACCTTGGAGCCAGGGGTGATCTGCATAATCAAATCCCATCTTAGAGGTTGTGGCCTGGATAGATAGGAAACATGGAAATACATACCTCTGCATGTAGACAATTCAGAATAAAATTGAACAATACTTAGATTAGTGGAATCTAACCCAAAGGAGGGGAAAACTGGGTGGGCAGAGGGGGTTGGCAAATCTCAATATGTAACTGGAACCCAGGCTACATAGGCAGTCACACTGAGACAGGCTTACTGGGCATAGGGAAACTGAGGCAGAAAGTTTGTGCAGCTACCCAGTAACCCTATCTTCCCTAAACCAGGACGCTTGAGAGTGAATCATTGGCACTTCTCCCCAACCAGAGGGTAGATAGCTTAAATCACCTTACTCAGGGAGACTGATAGCAGGAATTCAATTAGTGCCATATGCCAACCACACCCAAGGACAAAAGAAGTTAAGAGAATAAATCTCATTTTGGCATGTCAGCATAAATCTGATTAATATTCTATTAAGGTCTCTCCCAAGAATTTCCCTAAATGTCCAGCCTTAAAAACTCCTCAAAACGAAGGTCATAGGGTGAGCAAGCCCTTGCCTTCCTCCCCCTCCCACTTCCCCATTGGTGTGCATCTCTGGCTTGAAATCGGGGCGCAATGGGCAATGGGAACCATCCCCCCAACCTGTCCCCAACGTCCTCCTTCCTGTGACTTCTTAGTGAGCCAAAGCAGATCAGCCCAGGCTTACTTCCCCAGCCCTTCTTTGTTTCGCTGTCCCCAGCTTTAATAAATGTCCTCTCAGATTCACCTGGACTTGTATTGTGAAAATTTTTTCTACACAAAGTCAAGAGCCCACACTCTACCGGCCGGCTCTGCGCAGACTCACCAAGGGCCAGGTCTCCCTTCCAGTAACAACATCACCTCATTTGGAGTCCTTATTGACACAGAGATTATAAAAGAGGTCGGAGTGGCCTATCTTGATCTCAGGATTGGGGGGTGGGGGGAAGGGGTCACCCCTGAGTCATGCCAAAATATTTGGACAACATACAGCCTCAGTCTGCTGGGAAAAACCACTCCAAATCCCTTGGGATGGTAAAATGTAGGTGTTTTTAACCCTGAAAGGTTAGAAATGAACAATGGTTGTTAAATTGGGCCAAATGTGTAAGCAACTTGAGATTTGTAATTTGAGCTTTCAATTTTAAAGTTAAACTACTGGGTTGATTTATTTCAAGGAAGACTTTTTAAAGCCAAATAAAATGCAAATAATTCTGTGTACAAAATGTGCTCTCAAGAACACTAGCAACTTCCTTAACAAACCCACAGGCGCGCCGAAACCAGTTTGGCTCAGTGGATAGAGCGTTGGCCTGTGGACTGAAAGGTCCCAGGTTCGATTCCGGTCAAGGGCATGTACCTTGGTTTCGGGCACATCCCCAGTGGGGGAGAGGGTGCAAGAGGCAGCTGATTGATGATTATGATTCTCTCTCATCAATGTTCCTAACTCTCTATCCGTCTCTCTTTCTCTCTGTAAAAAAAAAAAAAAAAAAAAAAAAAAATATATATATATATATATATATATATATATATATATATATATATATGTATATATATATATATCAAACAAACAAAAAACCCCACAGGCTTTTGATTTTTTTTGATTTTTTACAGAGAGGAAGAGAGAGGGATAGAGAGTCAGAAACATGACTCTCATTTGCCAATTGCCTGCCTGGCAACTGATTTATTGTCTGTCTCCCCTTCTTAGAATGTAAGTACCACAAGGTAGGGATGTGTGTCTTTTCCTTACTATTGCATCCTCATAGGTTAGAGCAGTGCCTGGAAAAAATACTTGGATGAATGAATGAATGTCCAAATAAATGAATGAATATCAAAGCCCAAATACTACAGCTTTCAAGGCAAAAGTTATCTCTTCATACACTTACACCTACTCCCCTCTGCCCCTCTCCTACATGCCCTCTTATTCCTTCCCAGCCCTCCTCCCTCCACCCCTCCCCAGAGGCCACTGCACCCGGAAAATTGGCTCATTAAGGCCCCGCTTTTAGCCAAAAGGACCTTGCATTCCCCGGGGACCAGAAGTGTGCTTGGAACACACAAGCATATCATCATCATAACGAGCTGACATTTGTCTCTGCCTCTGTGGTCATTAAACCAGCCTTTATATCTATGATCACTTGTGAAGTGGGTATTATTTTACCCACTTTATAGATGTGGAAACTGAGGCCTGGAGAGGCGGAGCCCAGCCTCCTGGATCTGTCTATACATGGCGTACCAAGCTGAGCTTTCTCTGTGTGGCCACAGGATAAAAAACAGGCAAAAAAACCACATCCACCATCACAGTATCAACATCCGGATCTCCCCTGCATATCCTGTCAGTCCCTCCTCTGAGCACCTCCCTCCGCAGGAGACGTGGGCCTCGTCTGGAGATGGGCTGGATTATCAGGAGGGACCGATATTAGTCACACAAAGAAATTTCTGCGTGGGTGAGACTGGGCTCGGGATGCTGTGGGGGTGGTGCAGGTTGATTGAGAGAGACAAGCATCAGGGGCGGCTCAGGTGCCATGGGAGGAGTGTGGGGTGTCCAGAGCCTCCGTGATCAGCAGAGAAGCCTGTGCTCCAAGTGACCCCCTGACCGAAACTTTTCTCTATGGTCCCCATTCCCAACCTCCCCAGGTCCTATCTGAGCCCCCAATCAACCAGGACCTGGAAGAGCCCTAAGAAGGCAAACCGGACCAGCTCCTCCCTGGCAAACCAGCCGGGTAGGTCTGCAGGTGCCAGGGTGGAGGGTGGAGCAGCAGGCAACAGAGCTGACAAATGCCTGGGCTCTGAGGGCTCTGGGGAGCAGCCAGGGGAAAGCCACCGGGTTTGGCCTAGAGCTGGCTCTGGGGCCCGTGGCTCTGGAGGTAGGATTAGAGACAGCTGGTTTGGAGGCAGGATTTGATCAGACATTATTACTCATTCTTAAAAGTTATTAAAAGCAATTTGTCAATTGTTAAGGAACACTCACTGGAGAGACCAGGTATCAAGACACCTGGATTGCTCATTAAAAAATGTAAGTCCGCCTCAAGCCTGCAAAATCAGAATCCCTAGGCAGGGGTTAGGGACTTGAATCTTTATTTTATTTTTATTCTTTTGTTAATCCTCACCTGAGGATATTTTTTCCATTGACTTTTAGAGAGAGTAGAAGGGGGTGGGAAAAGAGGGAAACATGTGAGAGAGACACATTGATCCATTGGTTGCCTCTTGTACACTCTCCAACCGGGGCAGGGGATCGAACCTGCAACCCAGGCCCTTAACCGGGAATCAAACTGTTGATCCTTCAGCTCACAGGATGATGCTCCAAACACTGAGCAACACTGGCCAAGGCCCAAACTTTATTTTTAAAAGCCCTCTCGGATAATTGTGATGCTCAGAGGTTTA